CAGTGGGGGGCATCTGCCAAGGTGGCCAGCTCTTTTAGGGTGTAGGAAAAGTATAAAGCTGGCTCCCCAACTTACTATTATTTCTATTATTTCTAACTTAGGTGGAGAATGAGAATGTTAAGAGTAGAAAGTCAGATCTAGCTATTTTTTTTTTCTTTTTGGGTCATACTTGGCAATGCTCAGGGGTTACTCCTGGCTCTGCATTCAGGAATTACCACTAGCAGTGCTCAGGACACCATATGGGAAGCCGAAGATCAAACCCACGTTGACCGTATGCAAGGCAAAGGCCCTACCCACTGTATCACTCTTCCGGTCCCCCGTAATTCACCAATGTTTATCAGGAATAATTATTTGCAAAATGCAGCATCAGGAACTTAGCACACAGGCCCAGGAAGGTAGCCCACAGGGCTGGAGCACGCGCTCTGCACACACAGGGCCCCGGGTTTAACCCCGAGCTCTGCACGGTCTCCAGAGCTCCACCCAGTGCTGCTCCGCGGGGCCCCAACACTTCCGGGGAGCCTCCGACCCACTCCAAAAAACGCAGCATGCAGCCAAAAATGTGAGGCTCTAGGTTGATTCCCAGCACCATCCTCCCGTCCCAAAAAAGGTCCAATTCCCTTCCCACTCTATCTTCTAGGAATCTGCCCCCTCCACACTTCCCGATTGCTGTTTTTTTTTGCTTGTTTGTTTTTCTGAATCTGCCTTAGACCTTTTCATTGCAGCTGATTGGTCCAGAGCTAGGTCCCGAATCAAAGAATAGCCAATCACTTCCCAGAGCATTTCCAGGCAGGGACAAGGGCCCAAAAGGCTGGAGGGTGTGTCCTGCACGCACACCCTGAGTTAGATCCCCAAGGCTGTAGGTCGTCTCATCTCTGTCCCCGACCAGAGCTGTGTTTGGTCCTAGTGGCCCCCAGAACTCCTGGGTGAGCGCATGAACCATCAGACTTGCATACTCGGGTTTCCTGAGCAACTCTTGCGAGCCACCCCCTGTCCAAATCTATGAAAAAACAATGAAACGCTGCAATGGGAAGATCTTCAGGCAGGTAACTAATGTGCTATGTACCTGAGCTGAGCTGCCACGTGGTTGAGTCAGCAAGCCAATATTTTTATTATCTATTAATATTTTAAAAGGTAGGGACAGTCCTGCAATCAACGACAATAAAGAACAAGCAGCCCAATTTGAAAATGGTCAGAAGACTTGAATGGACATTTTCCTGAGACCATAGATGAGCGTGGGTGAGGATGTGAACACGGACTCCTTTTCCGTTGCTGGTGGGAATTCACAGTGGGGCAGCCATGTGGGGAATGTTGGACACAGGCACTCACCTCGCCACCGAGACACACGTCTCTAAATCCCACTGAGAGAGAGAGAGAGAGAGAGAGAGAGAGAGACAGACAGACAGACAGACAGACAGACAGACAGACAGACACAGATAGACAGACAAAGAGAAAAGGGGCCTCCAGCAGACCCTTCTCTATCAGTGCTCAGCTACAAATAGCAGCTGGAGCCACAGAATAGCAGGGAGGGCAATTGCCTTGCACATGTCTGACCCAGGCTTGATCCCATTTGGTCCCCCAAACCCACCAGGAGTGATCCCTGAGTCAGGAGTAAGCTCTGAGCACCTCCAGGTGTGGCCCATGCCCCTACAAGATACAAATAACCCTCATGCCTACCAACAGAGGACTGGATAGTTGAAATGTGGTCTACACACACAGTGGAAGATTCTTTGGTCTTTAAGATGAATTAAGCCGTCGGGGCTGGAGTGGTAGCACGGTGGCCATAGGGCATTTGCTTTGTAAATGGCTGGCCTGAGTTCAGTCCGTAGCAACCCTCATGGTGTCCCAAGCACCACCAGAAGTGATTCCTGAGTGCATGAGCCAGGAGTAATCCCTGAGCACCGTTGGGTATGACCCAAAAAGCAAAACAAAAAAAAATTGTGGGCAACTTTTCTGTGATGTATTTTTATCTCGATTTTTTAAAAGTTTGTTTTTAAGCAGCACTGATACAATTAAAAAATAAGAAATCGGTAAAAAATTGTATCCTCTACAAACCACTACTCCATTTCCACCCTGTCCGGTCTTTCACCTGCTGTTTTTGGTTAACTGCTAATATTTTTTTTAATAAAGTGCTGATTTGGCTAATTTGGGGGTCTCAATCTTGGAGGTACTTTATAGATTTCTATCTGTAAGACAGATTTCTTTCTATGAAGTCTTGTTCTTCCCAACACCACCTCCATTTTCTATCCTACAAAGATCAGCTAATATGTTTCGAGAAAGTCGAGGCAGGGGAAGTGGGGAGAAAGGGCCATGGTCTCAGAGATGAGGTCTGATGCCTTTGCAATGTGCCAGGCAGAAGCTTCCTCCTGTGCCTAGGTTGCATTCTTGCCCTCCCCATGAGGAAGGACGGGTTCTTTCTCCCTGTATTGTTGCTGCTACCGGTGGACCCACTCACGGTCACCCGGCAAGTGAGGGGCAGAGCTGGGCTGGGTGTTCTGGTCTCTGATCATGCCAGTTTCAGCCACAAGACAGACCATTTTCTGCTAGAGAACTTGAATGGCTTCTTCCAGTCTCAAACGCTTAGGAAGGCACGAGAATAGAATCTGAATCGGGATGGTGAGGACCCAGCAGAAAGAGCTTACCAGGGTCTAGAGAAGCTGGCCAGGCTGGGAGGATGGACGGGAGAGAGGGGTCTGAGGGCCTGGCAAAGATGTTTGTGCGGTGTCTGGAAACGGAACCAGACCACCCACCTCCTGCTCCCAGCTAGCAACGGCTCGTACTGACAAGCCCTGGGATTGGATGCCTTTCACTGAGTGCCCACGCCCTGAGCCAATCAGCTGTGGCCGGAGCCCCTGTGAAACCAATACTGTACTTACAGGGGAAAGGGCGGGGACAGATTCCTCTGGCGAGGGACAGGCACCCAGAGAGCTGTGTTTAACTGTCTGATAAGAGGTCAGGAGGAGGCAGAAATGAGTCGGTACAAACTACCGATGTCCCGGCCACAGCGGCGCAATATTTGCCAGATGACTAATAAATGAGTTGGATTTCAGTATCATTCTGCGAATTGGGTTAACCAACGTTCCAGTCATCCAGCATTTCAATCATTCAAATTTATCTTGCTATTTTCAGAAATGGGTTGTTTCTTTGGAGACTCTCAAAGACACCCAGCATTTAAGAGTACAAGCGTGGGTCATGGTTAGAACAATGCCAGTCTGGGTTCAATCCCCAGCACCCTATAACGGTTGTCCCAAACCTCTCAGGAGTTAAATCCTGACCACAGCCTGGTCCGGTCCCCAAACAACCACAAAAGGGTGCAGGTCTCTGGAGACGCAGGCGGGAATCGAACTGCTCAACTCTTCGCTGTTAGAGTCAAAGAGTAAGTGAAGATGGTCCCATGGGGTTTGATTCTCAGCACCCCGAGAAAGAATCACACTCCAGCTCATTGCATTGTTGCAAAGATCGGGGAGAGGGATGGCATTAGCGAAGCTTATATCTGGCTGCCTGGCACACACGGACACGTGGATTTTCATCTAGTCCTGAGTGGGTTTTTTCTTTTTCGTGGGGGTTTGAAGAGGGTGGGGGGCATTCAGGACTTATGAACCCACTGCTAAAGGTGATGGATGTGAGATTGTTTCCAACTGGTTTCCTCTGCTCTCCTCTCTCTCTTTGGACCATGCCTGGGTTTGCTCAGGGGCTACTTGGGAGCTTCTCCCGCGGGTGTTTAGAGAATCACATCCGGGATTGAACCCGGGGCTCCAGTACGCAAAGCAGACCGTTTGAGTGAAGGCTCTTCGGTGAGTGTTCTGGCCCCTCTTTCCACTCTCCCCTCCTTCCATTTCCTCCCCTGCCCCTTGCTTGTTACTCCTCCCCCATTTTCATCATTCCTTCTCTGCCCCTCTTCTCTTGGGGCTCTGCCCTCCTTTCCCGGGTGAAGTCGTCCCAGTCAATCACAGGTTCCCGCCAGCAACCATCAGGGCCATCTCTGTAGTTCTCTCTTCTCACCTGTTGTATAACTTCCCTGCCACTTACTGGTTCACCTAGGACGGGAGGGTGTGTCACTCTGGGTGGGAGCCATCCTATGTGCCAGGATCTGCTCGAGGCTCTGATGGGTGCGGAGGATTATACACCCCCAAACCTTCATAGAAGAAAGCTAAGTTCTAAGCAGGGGGCAGGCATCCAGGCGATGGAACCACGAAGACGAAGCACCTCTGGAATTTGTCTTAATTCATCTTTGATTTCCCAGAATCAGAGCTATCCTTTTTTTAAAAAAAAAAAATCAGGGCTGGAGCAATAGCACAGTGGGTAGGGCGTTTGCCTTGCATGCAGCCAACCTGGGTTCGATTCCCAGCATCCCATATGGTCCCCTGAGCACCGCCAGGGGTAATTCCTGAGCGCAGAGGCAGGAGGAACTCCTGTGCATTGCCGGGTGTGACCCAAAAAGCAAAAAAAAAAAAAAAAAAAAAAAAATCACGGGAGCAGACTTGTTGAAAGCCTAGCGCTCTAGGGTCTTCTCAGGCCCAGCTTCCATTGTCCTCTCCACCAGTTCCACTAGACCTCCAGTTCCGTGTTGCCAAAGATCCGTCCAACTAGTTCTCTGCCACGGTGCCCTGCGCCTATTCCAGCATCTGGCACGCAAGCAACGTTCGAAGCAACACATCAGTACGTGCACACAATAAACGTCGTTCCCTTCTTTTCGTTTCCTGCGTGTGTGGTAGCATCCTGAGGCCGAAGAGCATTGCACCAAAAAAGAAAAAAAATATACAAAAAAAAAAAAATCAAAACAAAAACACCACCACGGATGAATCCCTCCTCCTAAACGTCTCGGGAGCCCGGCCCAACCAAGGGTCCCGGAGGGGCACTCTGCAGGCTGCTGTGTTCTCCAAGGCCCCGAGCCAGAAATAGCCCCCCACCAGCCTCCCGGGCTCCCCCACCTCCCCGCCAGCCGTGCAGGCTCCTCCCCGCCCCCTCTCCCCGCGCTGCGCGCTCCTGCCCGCCGCCGCCTCCTCCCCTCCGCCCACTCTCGCCGCGGTCTCCTGGCGGCTGTGGCTTTGTCTCCTGGGCTGCTGGCCGCTGCCCGGGGCAGCTGCCACCCGTGGCCGGGCCGGGGCGCGGGAGCTGTCCGGCGCCCCCGGTGCTGAAACCCCCGCGCGCGCGTCCCGCTCCAGCGCCAGCACCATGTAAGGGCCATGCGCCCTGGCGCAGCGCGGACATGGAGGAGGATTTGTTCCAGCTCAGGCAGCTGCCGTGAGTATCCCGGAGGGGTGGGAGTCGGAGGCAGGCCGGCCGGCTTCCCTTTGGAAACGGGGGGCCCGGCTGCGGGATTGCCGGGGAGGGGGGTCTCTCCGCCCCGCGTCCTGGGTGCAGAGATGCCGCCGGTCCAGAGCAGAGGTGCGGACCCGGAGGAGACAGGCCCGGTTTCTCACCCCGGCAGCCCTGCCGCTGCTCTGTCCTCTCCGACTCGGTCCGTGCCCCCCGGGCCCCCAGATCAGCACCCTCTTGGGGGAGCTCCCGCTGTCCTTCTCCCCCCTCCCCCTCCCCTCGCCGCTTTGAATTGCTCTGCATCCTGAAGGAACGTCGAGGTGGGTGTTTCAAGGAAGCGCTGGCTGCTGTCTGGAAATGGGGGACAGAATTGCTAAGCCAGTGCCCTGGCATCTGTCTTTTCCAGCCTTTCTGGCTGGCTGCGAACTCCCTCCTTTTGAGCAAGGTCTTTTGGAAGGTAAAGGAGGCGGTGGGCTGGTTTCTGAGAAGCTGGGCTTGTGGGGAGGGGGCGCTTGGGCAAGGTTCCCGTTGTTTGTGAAGTGCTGAGTGCCTGCTGAGCCCTGGCGGAGCTCCTGCCCCTGCTTCTGAATGAAAGGTTTCTGTCCCTGCTCTGCTCGCTGGAGTAAGTCGGGCCTCCCCCGTGGAGGTCTGTCGAGCTTGGGGGCGCTTCCGGAATCCAGCCCTGGGGGGGGCCTCACTTCTTAAGGGGCACCAGATTTGTTCTGAGAATCCCGAGGGAAACCCCCAAGCAATCAGTGGCCAGGACAGGCCTTGTCCAGCAGCACCCTCCCGGCCACAAGCCTGATTTGTTAGGCAAATTTCAAGAATCCGAAATGTTATTTTCCCCAAAGCCTCTCTGGGGTGGTGTGTGGGGGTGGGGGTTGTTTTAATGTTTAGAACCACAGCCATTTGGATGGGGAAAGCCGACACCGTTTGGGTTTGGCGGAAGGGCTGCGTGACCACTAGGATGTGTGTGTGTGTGCTTGAATTAAAAATTGTTTCCCTGTGTCCCACTGAGAAAGTCTCCCAAGTGACTTTAGTGTGACTGAGATCACTCCCCAAGCATGGAAGGCACTGTAATGTTTACTTCCTACGAAATTAATTTTCATTAATGTTTTTCATTGATTTCACATTGACTTTTAAGCTTTGATACTAAGGGATCCCCCAATAACAGACGGTATGTGATACAGCACTATTTCACAAAAGCTAAAAAAAAAAAGGAGCGCTCACTTATCCTGTCCAGAGGTCAGGGGAGGAATATACCAAAGTAAAAATAACTGGGAGTCAATTTCTCAAAGGAAACACACTATTTTCACTGAAAAATGGATATTTTTAAAGCCATCCTACACAATAAGTGATTTTTGAAATGGAAATTGGTGCTTAGAACAAGAATACAACACACATTATAATTGCTGTTGAATTGGGATAAATTCTCAATTCTGCAAGAGCATTGGAACTCTGCATGTTATTCAAAGATTCATGTATATTTAATCTACTGCTTATAGAAATGACTCTTGTTACATTTCATTCTCTAATAATAAGAGACTTTTTACTGATTGAAATTTGGAAGTCTCAAAATTTATATTGAGTGGCTATATATGATAGGTACGTAGGGCAAATAAAATTTGGAAAGAAGCATGAGAATTCAAAGTGGATGTCTCTTTAAATCCCCGTGTTCAATTTCTTGATGACTTTCAACACATTAATATGTATAATATCTACCAGAAAAGCCAAATTGTGTACTGATCAAGGGCATTAGCGCTTGGGTAAGAAATATTTGGGCTCAAAATCTCCTTGTACCCCTTCTTGGCTGTGACTTTAAACAAATGCCTTAAGCTTTCTGAGACTCAGTTTCCCTAAAATGAAGACCTAAAAGGAGAATCATAAAAATACTTAACTCACTGTGAAGTTCAAATGACGTGAGGCTAAATGCCTGGTTGAGATGAAACCTTTGATGCATATTAGCCATCATTTGCTCTACCTCTGAAAAATCATTTCGAATACATACAGATGCTCCCTAGGCTGGACACCTCCAAATTTCATCTGCAATCCTCCAAATTCCATTGGAATGAAGTCAGTTAGCTTCCAAATCCCTTGACCTTGATCCATTACAAAATAATAATAGAAGAAAGTTTTAAAAGAATCAAAGGAAAGGAACAGCCACGTACATCTGAGTGGGTTACAAATCACGACTTAGATATTTTTTAAACCACACCCTGCATATAAATGCACAGATTGCAGGCTGCAGACTTCCTGAGAGCAATATGGCTAAAAAAAAAATTGAGTGGGAGGATTGGCAAGAGTGGACTGGGGAACAGGCCTGATCCCCGGGGAGGCCAAGTGTTAATAGATTATTAGCCACTAAGTAGTTTACAGGGTCAGGGGAGGGGGAAAGAGACTAAGAACACAGCCCTTTCTTGCACTCGGGGTCATCTCCACGAGGTTCCTCGGCGACCAGAAATACCCTGGCCTTCCTGGTGTTCAGACTCGGCACCAAGACGCCGGGGGTCAGGGATCTGTGTGTTTGTACCCGGGTCTGTCGTCTCGCGTGAACTTGGACAAGTCAGAGTTTTTCGGGCATCTCCTTTCTAGGATGATTTCTTGAAAGCAAGTTTTACAGAATACGTGGATTCCTTGGTGCATGCAGTCAGTGATTTCCCTGGGCACTGTGCCAGGTACGAAGGATTCTATGACAGAATGAGCGAGACATAGGGCCCTGTCCATACGAAGCACATCACTTAGGGCTGGGGAGAGAGTGCAGTGGGGAAGGTGCTTCCCTGGCATGAGCCTGGCTGGCCCTGGTTGGCTCCCAGGTAACATGTGCAACTGGGGGTGACTCCCGAGTACAGAGCCAGGAGGACAGTCCTGGAGCACTGCCAGGTGCGGCCCCCAAATCCAATTCCCTCTCTTCGCCCCAAAAGAAACTCACAATCCAGAGGGTTAGTGTCCAAGACAGCTGCCACTGGCACTTATGGTTAAGTTATGTCATTTCTATGTAAAATAACTTAAATAAGATAGACTTTATTGGGCTGGAGAGATGGTACAGCGGGTAAGGCACTTGCCTTGCATGCAGCTGACCTAGGTTTGATCCCCGGCAGCCCACATGGTCCCCCGAGCCAGCCAGGAGTGATCCATGAGCACCTACTGGTGTGGCCTCAAAACCAAAATCATAATAATAATAATAGCACTGTCCTCCCCTTGTTCATCAGTGTGCTCCAGCGGGCACCAGTAATGTCTCCGTTGTGAGAGTTGCTGTTACTGCTTTTCGCATATCAAATAATAATGATAATAGTAATAGTGATACAATATACATTAAAAATCAAATTGGTGAAATTTGGAAAAGACCCTCCATTGTGTTGGTCATATTTCAAGTTCTCCATAGTTATAGATGGCAAGGGGCTACTGGCCCGTGTCTGTCTTGAGCACTTCTATGACTGTAGAAGCTTCTGGAGATGAGCAACCTGTCTGGTTGGAGAAGGAAGATGCTGAAGATGTAATTGGACAAATAATGATGAGAATTGTCATAAGTGCCACAAAGGGCAGGTGGGGAGTGCACTGGACATTAGTTTGAGGTAGCATGGGTCACCATCATGCAGTAGCCCCTGATTTGAATGCCAACACTCCCCATCAACCCCCCCATAGCATGTGTGGGTGGGCTTGGTGTCCCCTACCACCACTGGACCTCTGGAGCATTGAACCTTATGGTCCAGTGGGCTGAACGGTCCCCGGGGCCCCCCAGTATTGCTTGGGAGGTGACCCACAGAAAAAAATGAACTGGGAGCTCTATGGAGAGGTCGGCATACAAGGAAACAAAGAAGCCATGACTGACTTTTGCAAATGGATCGACCTTGAGGATGTAACAGTGGTGCCCCCCAACCAAGAAAAGAACAACTGGACAGAGGAGGAGTCCCTGGGTAGGCTGAGGTCAAAAGGAAAAAGGGAGTCATATAGGGTTTCAGTGAAGTGGTAGTAGGGACAGCTGGTAGACCAGGAGGTAGATCACCAGTGCGGGTGACCTAGCAGATGACCAAGTGCAGGATATGGAAAGGTTCCAAGTCTTGGGGGGGGGTGGAAAAGGGGAGATGAGCAGAGCAGAGCTTTGAAAGATCACCCAGGTACGGTTTTCTTTTTGTTTGTTTGGTTTTTGGTTTTGTTGTTGTTGTTGCTTGTTTTTTGGGTCACACCTGGTGATGGTCATGAGTTACTCCTGGCTCTGCACTTAGAAGTTACTCCTGGCGGTGTTTGGGAGACCAAATGGGATGTGGGGGATTGAACCCCGGGTTGGCTGCGTCCCACCCCCAGTACCCTCTGTACTACTGCTTGGGTCCCCAGGCAAGGTTTGCTACCCACGGAGAAACAGATTGTGAGGCGCACCTTCAAACAGAGGATTGATTATGATTTAGACTTGGCCAGGCCCAGTGATAAGAAATGACTTCCGTGGACAAGATAAAGTCGGCCACACTCATAGGCCCAAAAGGGGGGGTCCGCTCAGGACAGCGGTCTCCAAAGGAGGTGAAGGGTTGGGGGCATGTGGGGCTTCTCTGGTGTTTCCATGGATGGGGCGGGGTAAGAAGCACTGGCGGGGCTGCTTGAATAATTTCCAGGGGTGAGGAGGCCCAGACACTCCATGTGTTCATTTGCATATGAAAGATGCCTCTTTGAGGACAGGCCGGTCATTTATCATCTCACGGAATTACTTAACCCCGGGAGTCTCTTCAGGGTTGCTCAGGTCCCCAGATGTCAGCACAATGGAATACAGACAGTAAGAGGCACATGAATGCAGAGAGACAGAGAGAGAGGCAGCAGGCACCAAGGGGGCAGCCGCTGAAGGGGGAGGCCATGGCGGCTGGCAACGGAGGGGGGTGTTGATTTTTTTTATAAACCCCCACCCCTACATTTAGCAGAGGGGAAGCTTTAAAGGGCTAGTTTCTCTTTTTTCTTTGCTTTTTGGGTCACACCCAGCGATGCTCAGGGGTTACTCCTGG